GCCCCCTCCTCACCCCCCCTCCCAGGGCCCTCCTGACTCTGGCAATCAAAGACATAGGGACTTTCTGACTGAGATTTCCTCTGGACCCCCAGGCTTTAATAGACCCCAAGAACATCTTCCCCTGAAGTGATGTAATTCCAGCTTAAAAACATTTACATTTTTGGCAATGAATTCTATACTTTGATTGTGTATTGTATGAAAATCTTCTGATTTCTGTAAAGCCTGCTGCCTGATAACTTTGTTTGGTGCCACTAGTTCTGTTATTAAGAGAAACAGTGAATTTCTAATCACCTTTTCCATACTATTCATGATCTTACTGACTGCTTTCTTACTTATTGCTTGTCCAGGCTAAAGTGTTCTAGCTTGTTAGTCTTCCTTCAAGTGGAAGTCTCCCATGACTCTGCTCCTTTTTATTGCCATCTTATGACTTATCACATTTGATTATGATTTTTGAAATGGAGCAAATCAGGACTGCATGGTTTTACTTGGCTGCATAATGTTGCTCTCTGTGGTTTTCTCCTTCAATTTTATTCTAATAACTCCTAACAGCCAATTTGCTGCTTCTTTTGTTGCCGAGCTTTGAGTTGATTTTTCATCCAGAGTGTTCTCCTTTGTTGCAAAAGACAGACTAAATGTATCATTCTTCTGAGTTTTCTAATTTTCTTTGAAATACTTATGCTCCTCCAGAATATTTATTCTGAATATCTGTTATCATCTTCTGCAGCGTTCTTCTCTCTTCATCTTGGAAAAAATTGTTTAACGAGTTATTTTACTTTCTTATTCCCAACTTATTTCTTCTACTTTCCAATGAACTAACATATTTCTTTTAGATGCTGTCTTAAACCCATTAGCATTTTTATGCACGTGTGGCTTTATAAATACAAATATGCAGATTTTTATATCTCAAGAGAATTCATTTCATTGTCATCAGGACTTACCATTAGTTTGTGTCTGCCAAATGGCATCAGATAGGCCCCAAAGAGCAGGGAATATGAAAAACACAGCAAGCTGCTTAGGATGAGGTTTCCACAGCAGTAGTGCTATTATACAGGCGGTGTTTGTAACAGTGGCTGTTGATTTAGAAAGAAAGAAGGGAAATATAAATGCTATTACAAAAAACGACAGATAGCGGTAGATAACACTATCAAATTCTTCCCCCAACTAGAGCACAAGGCAGTCTTAAAATCTTTCTGGTTCATTGAGCTTTGCGCTGGCTGAGTTGATATCACATGAAATACGGAACAGTGCAGTCCTTTTGGCAGGCTTCAGTTAATAATTCTGAGCAGTGTCCTGGGCTGAGAGATCCTCGGCACTGATACGGCTGTTGCCCAAAGGACAAGAACTGCCCCTGAGGAGGAGAAGGGGCTGCTGAAAGACTTGCAGTCACCACGGAAGGCATGTGGGAAGGGGGAGGAAGGACCGTTCTGCTCTCCTTGCCCAGTTCTTACATGTAGGTTTCCTTTCAGGGTCAGAGGAGACAGTTAAGGACATCGAGGTTCTGGTGGCTTTTTGTCTTTCTTTTTGAAAGCAGTATGTAAATGAGTGACCGATTCCTCCCTCCACAGGAACACTTCCACAGGCTGAGTACAAAGACCATTAAACAGAACTGAGAGGTTCAGAGGTCTTGCGTTACTGACAATGTAGGGTTTTTTTCATCATCATCATCATTTTGGATTTTTTTAAAATCTGAAATGAATTCCATAGGCTGAGACATACACCTATGACAGACATGTATAGAAGAATATCTGAACTAGTGATTGCAGCATAAAGGATTCTAAATTTCTTCTTCCTTGCCCAGGTTTAACATTTCATATGGAGGAAAATGCCTAGAATATCTAGATGCACATTGACTCAGTCAGTCAAGTTTCTAGTAACAGAGGTTACTGGGTAGTGGAAATAAGGTATCAGAACACTTCAGTATGTATGGCTTAGTGGATACAGGGCAACTAATTAAATATTTCTTGGCATTTTTCTGCCTCCATTAATCTATTGCTTACTGGAACAATGTTCTCTGAAGAGGGAGATGTTTTTCAATATACAAATCTCTTCTCATGACAACCTGAAAATTAGTGTCCCATACAGAGGCCCTCAAATTCTTCTAGCCTGACACACTGGCATATGATTCTATCTTTAATTTTTCTCCCTATACTGCAAGTAGTGAAAAGGACACCAGATCAACCTCTAAAAATCTTCCTGGTTGCTTAAGTTCCAAGTTCACTATCCCCTGAGACTCAAATAAACAACACATCTTATGAGGTTTGCAGGTGCTTTCACTCCTAAGGGTGAGGTTTCACCCAAATAGAGAAATCCTTCTCAGGTGTAGCCTAGGCCTCAACATCTGCGTTGTAACATCATTTGTTGTCGGTAAAGAGCTATGTATTAGACCTGTGAAGCAGCCAAGCTGTAGGTCACTTTCTGAGTAGATAGCACCCTCAAAAGCAAAATGATGTAAGGCAGTGACCTCACAACTATGGTTAACTGTGCTGCCTCTCTTCTCATGAATGAAGCTTGCCTCCAAGATTAACTTTGGTTTTAATTGATAGCTGAGAGCGAGCTCTCCCTTTGTAGTGCATGCAAAGGGGGGAGCACTGGGTTTGATATATTACACGAGGTGATCACTCTTTCAAGTGACCTTTACATACCTAATGCAAATAGAAGTTTTCTACCCGTGAACTGAGAGATCTTTCCAAAGAGCAGCGAGCAGAGGGAATTTACAGCTGAAAAGCAGATCATCACATAGCCAACGTAATGTATCCCCAGGGCACAGGTCACATACGTCTGGAAGAGAAGAGACAGTTGGTGACATGTTTTTTTCAGTGAAAATATGCAGCTAAGGTTCAAGGGTCTTAGCCTGAGTATTTGGAAAATAACCACCGTGGATGAGATCAAAGGAGCACAGCTACAGAGTTTGCTGACAAGTCCCTGGCGTATTGACATAGTTGGCCTTCAGCAGCAATATTCCTAACCCAGTTCCCAATCAGACTGATGCCATGCAAACAGAGCAGTAACAAGCAGGAGAAGAAACCAGAGCACTGCTCACTGTGCAAATAAAACTCCTAGAAGTGGCACTAGGAATTTTCTGCCCTTCCCTTCATAGCCCAAGAGATGAAAATTGACAATCATCATTGTGGTCATTGCAGAGCAGCCCCCAAGAAATGAAGAGGACCTCACCTACAAGAGCATACAGCCAGTGGAGATGGCCATGGTGTGAGTGCCCCTTTCAATCCATTCAAACAGCAGTAAGTGCACTCTTCCGTCTGCTTATATGCAAGGTTTGAAAGCTTAAGTGTCAAATAAGCAGCTCAGGAAGCTTTTCTCCTTTCTTTGGAGGTTTTCTCAATGAATGTCTGGAGAACACATCTGCTATAGGTCCAGATTTGTAGAGAAACTGGAAGAGCAGAGGTGGCTTTGATCATTTCAGGCCGTCAGGGTTTGGACCTGTTGCACTAGTGACAGGTGAGGGCTTTCAGCCAGCCACATTGAGGGTTTGCCCTCGTACCGTAAAGATTCTCAAAATAAAATCTGTAGTATGTGTGCTGACTTGCACTTACACAAACTCTAGGGAAACCAGAAGGAAGGAAGATATAAAAGCTTTGAGAACTTCTGGCTTTTTTCCCAGTTTGTTATTTACAACAAGCTGAGGAGTTTGAACCTGTAGCTCTCTGCTGGGGCCTTCACTGGTGAGTTAAGCTCTCTACAGCTTTTTAAGGCTGTTCCAAGGGACATGTTTACTGCTGGCCTCTCCTGTTTGAAGGTGTCACTCAAGGTTCATTCAGGTAGAAGTAAGCAGTAATTTAGCAAACCACAAATCGCCATAGAAAACATCTTCATTTAACAAGTAAATATAGATCAGATGCAATAGTAAGACACAAAGGCACAAAAAAACCAATCAGACACAAACAGATTTTCATTGTCATCCACACCTTTGTGTAGTCACCAGAAAGAAATCCCTGTTCAAACCCACTGTACATTGTCAGAGGGATTAGAAGACACTGTCTTTTATCTTTAAGGTGCTTGAAAGTTGCTAGGAACGTAGACCAAAAGGATGGAGTCTCTAGTATTTCTTTCTCAGTCTCTGCTTGGTCAGATTTGATCTGGTCCAGAAACATAACAATCAGCAACACAGCTAGCACACCACTAGCTGCAAAAACAAAACAAAAAGTTCATGAAAAAATGAGGAATGCTGGAAGAATGATGGGAAGTCGCTTGCTGTTGTTATTGTTCTGACTTAGTGCTTAGCTCTCTGTGGGACGTTTTGGCAGATGCATCTGATTCCGCTTCAGTGTAAAGGCCATTTCTGTGTAAACAAGGCGGCCTGATCTACATTCACATCTTCTGCATACAGCTGTGCACCTCGCAGACCCCCTCGGCTTAGCTGTGAGTGGCCTGTTGTGACAGCCGCCGGGCCCCGGCCGGTTGTGGCAGCCGCCGGGCCCTGGCCTGTTGTGGCAGCCGCCGGGCCAGCTGCGCGGCCGCAGAGGGTGATGGCTCACCCTTCCGGGGCAGGCCAGGGGTCGCGGGGACGGGGAGCTGGCCAGAAACAGCTCCCTCGGGAGCTATCAAAAGGCTTTAAATCAACACCAGAGAGGAATACTCACTTCCAGCGCCAAGCTTTTCGTGGCTAGGGAGGGATCTTCCTTCAAATACATGGAAAGAAAAATAAAGGGGTAGAAGGAGAACTGCTGTCTTGGATCTGGTGTATGTTGCTTTTGGTTTGGTTTTTTTTTTTTCTGTCAGCTCAGAGCCATGATTTGAGTATGAAATATGTGCTTTTTTAAACATGATAGTGAGCAACCCTGGGTGACTTGAAAAAGATGGAAGTTACAGCTTTGAATCTATAATTTCCTAGCAGAAGCAGTATATGAAAGAATACATGAGGTAGTTAATTCAGAAAATGATTGTGCATGTATCAGTCTATGTTTGTTGCCCATGGAGTGAATCAATACGATTTTTTTCATGTTATCAAGAAGATAACTGTGGGTCATAATATACATTATGCAGCCACAGATTCACAACTGATTGCTTCCTTACAGATGGAAGGCACGATTATGTTTCCTCTCTTACTTATGCTGACTAGAAATTCATCCACAGAAACAAATGGAGTTCAGAGTAAGAGGAAGACCAGACACCTCTTGGCATCCACATTGCCCACTTAGTGTGCTCCTATGTTACTGTGTATGGGCATGCACTTTTCTGTGAACTTTTAATGTCCAAATACGTTAGCAGATTTACAGCAAATTGCCTTAATTTTTTATTGCTTACTATTTCTCATCCATGTCTCCTAGAATGAAATTGTATTCTCCACTGTGGCTGAGCTGTAAACCCTTGGTGAAGTGGTTCTGCCAAGGTGTTCATTAGTGCTTATGGGCTGATTGCAAGACTTAAATAGGTGAGAGCAGGACACCCACATTTACAAGACAAATATTCAAACAAATATGTCAGATGAATCAAGAGCACAAGAAAGATATGAACCACTATTAAGCCATGCAGTTACTTATCTCCTGTAATTGCTCTTGATTTATTTGACATATTTTGGTTGGAGGAGACCTTTGAGATTATGAAGTCCAACCATATGAACATAAATAGAAACATGCACAGTTCTCGAGAAAACTAAAAAAACGAAAGACTTATCCATTATTGTCTCCACCCAGGCTGGGCAAAATATATATTCAGCAACCAAATAGAACAGACACTTTAAAAATGTCTGTGAATGAAATATTTAGCTATTTGGTTTCCCTCGAGGTAGGAAAAGACATATCTTTTATTAAGAGCTTAAAAGAAAAATGAAACCCTACCGACGCAGGGTCAGAAGACAGCAGGGCTGCATTCATTTTGCATGAGCAAAGCCTAAGGGAGTGCTGTATATGTTAGTCATCAAATTTAAATTTAAACTTGTGAGCCAAACCTGCCTTTAGCAGAAAGACATCAGCTTCAGCACACTCTGGAAGGGAAGCGGGGGAGGTTATTCTTTGCATTTTCTCACCAATTAGGAATGGAGGTTGGGGAATGAGGGAGGGTTTGCTGTGATGCACTTGTCTGGTGTGGACTGGCTCTGACCAGATCACATACTCTCTGTTTGAACATATGAGAAATTCCATGCATCTCAGCATAGAGAGCACATCTGTGTGCAGAGACTGCGAAGATATTTTAACAGAGCTAAGGTGACATAATGCCTTGCTAGATACTTCCCCTTTACCCAGAGAAGAACTTGTTTTGAGCCGGATACTTTTTGAACTTTCCTCCCGGGATGAATCTTTGCATACCTATTTTTGTCTTTCCAATTTTTGGTGGCATCAGCCTTCCCTGTCTGTGATTCCTTTGTAGCCTTATGCAAGGAAGGTCTATAGCAGCTGTAGTTACTAAATGGGAGACATGCCAGTTCGCCTAGTGCTTCTCTTTATCTTTGCCTTTTACATTAAGGTATTATAATTCAAGCATCACAGCTGAGAATTGACTGAAGTTGTAAAATCTCAGCAGGGATTCAAAAACCTACCCCCAGATGATGGCATGTTCTGGGAGCCATGGTTCAGGTCCACCTCCCTCTAATTACAGTGCAGTTTTTGTGCTAAAGCTGTTTTACAGGTGATAGGACATCAGCTGCTTCTGATAGGTACCCCCAGATGACTAGAAGTTGGTGAGTTCAAGTATCACTAGCAGAGCTGCTCTTAGCATCTTGGACCTCTGGATGCCTATATAAATCTGCCAATGCCATCAGTAACTACTTCACTATTGCTTATTCTGAAGATAGTGAATTTTAAACTCTCTCAAACATAAGTGGATATGCTGCTGCAACCCTTTAATTACAATGTGGGCATCCTTTTGATTCTGTAGAGCAAGACTGACATTGGGTGGAACAGTGGGATCACCACACTGGTTTTCCAGGTGAAAAGGGTAAAGGATGTCTTTCTCCTTCAGACAAAAATGATACGGGACTGACAGAAAGCATTTGAAACTAGTTAGGAAGGAGTTGTTTACAGCTCTCACATGTCTTACTTCCTTTTAGCAAATTGGATCGAAGGTTGAAGTTGGAAACTTAATCTGCAAAGTCATGCTAGGTTTCACAACTAGTAGGTTCCTCATCAGTGATATTCATTAAAGATTGGGCGGATTACTTACCAGTGTAGATCCCTAGCAGAGTGTAGATTAAGGAGCTGGAGGGTTTCGCTGCCTCAGTGGTGTTGGTGGTATCACTCATGCAGTCATGCGCGCCACAGCAGGCCAGGTTTTCTTCTGAGATTTCCACTAATTCAGTAGGAACCAGAAGAAAGGCAGGACAGAGAAGAGATCAGATAAGTGTACACTATATGTAAGGATATAGGGAGAAGGGAATCCAGTGCTTGGTGATTGGTTCTGGTTTCAAATCCTTCCTAATTACAGATGTTTAACTTTTAATACACAAAAAATTGGTTTAACAGAAACAGTTGCTCAAGACAGAACACTGAATTGATGGTTACACGGAGACATGGACTAAAACCAGAGGCTGAAATCTGAATGCAAGCTCAATTTGCACTATTTAAAGTTTCAGTGTGTATCTGTACCGCTTAATGCTAATGTCCCACAAGACAGTTCACACCACACTTCAGTTTACACCACCACTGAGCTGATAGACCTCAGTTCTTACAGCCAGAGCACATTATCCTCCTCCAGGTAATTTCTGTATATGTTATAGACACAGAAACCACCTCGATACGTCTTTTTGTTTTATAAATTCAAATTACGATTACCCACTAATGCAGTCTTCCAAGAAATCAGCATTTCCTGGCTTTATTACTTTATTACTGGCTTTATTACTCTTTGAGAACATTCTTGCAACTAGAGCAGTTTGGCAGGGTTAGGAGTAAGACCTTTGCTTTGTCCAGTCTCACCAGTGTTGTGCTGGGCACGTGTCAAAGCCACACGCAGTGTGTGCTCAGGCAGCCTGTGTGTCACCACAGCACTGTGCCCACTTCCTCCTGTACCCTCTCTGTAAAGAAAAAATACTAACCCAAAGTTTGAGCCTGAATAAGCCGTTTAGTGGGGAAGAGTGATCAAAAAAGCATACAATCATTTCAACGCTTTCACTGCAGAATTTGTCATTGGCTCAAGCATAATAAAGGGCAATACAGTGTACCTTGGCTGATTCCTTAAACAGGACTCGAACTGTAATTTTTCAATTAGGGTTATTGTGTAACTACTTTTAGTGTGTTTTTCCCCATTGCTTCCAATCAAAGCTGCTGCAATGTGAACCAGCTGTTTAACTAGCTTCATAAACAACTTTAGGTTCATCAGATAAACATAAACATCAGATAATATTTCATAACAGAAAGAAAACTATTAGCTTATTATCGCCAGTGGCTACACTACACAGTTTTGAACAAACAGACCCTCAGTAAAATTACCATATGCAAAAGATTAGTCACACTAGTAAAGTGTGGAAGTGGGTAAAAGAAGTTTTATCCCTTCATGCATCATCTGAAGATGAAGATGCACACACAATCAGTGATATGGAAGCTGCAAGGCAGGGTTTACTCTTTTCCTCTGGAAATAAGGCCACAGTATTGATGAGTAAGAAAGGATGACTCTTGTAATTTACATTGATTACTGTCTTCTGATGTAGCATTACCTTATGGTGTAGCTTGCCTTGCTGTGTCTGGAGGCAGTGATGCAAGCAATATGTCAGGTGTATGTACGTCTGAATTTTATGCATTTTGATTCTCAGATACGTAGCATATCTTTCTGATTGCTCAGTGAAATTATTCATTTAAAGTATATGGGCAATATGGGGGGATATCTTTGCTGCACTGACAGAGGAGAGGAAAAGAAATAAGTGCCCGGAGACCCTCATCCCCCTGCAAGAAGCTCCCTCTAGTTTAAAGCTGAGTCTCACTGAGAAGGCACAGTTGGGAAGCTTAGAATATGACTGCTCATCACTGTTGTGAAGGTATGCAAGGCCTTTGGCTTTGAGGGCTGTTCATAGCACACCTCCCAGGACCACAGGATTTCCTGAAATCCAATGTAACTGATAAAAAATAGGCAAAAGTTAGAGTTTCATTAGAATTTAGAGGAACATCCTCAGCTGCAAAACTAGGAGAGGATTTTAGAGATAAAGAAATAGTATTTTAGTCCTCTTAGTAACATCACTTAGCATGATGTGTGCTGTTGGGAAGAGGAGAGTAAAATGGTTGCAGTCTGTGGAGACTCCACGGCTGCACCACAGCCTCTGTCCTGCAAATGAAATCAGAAAGGCTGTTCCCTCCTTAGACATCGTGTGGCTCAGTGGTCAGGTCAGCAGGGCTCAGTTCCACTTGATGCATACAGTCCTTTAGAATTCTGCTTTGATGGTGTTTCATCTAGATCTGCTTGACTTTAAAGGAAAGCATGATTCTCCACGCATATCATGCCTTGTGACAACTACTGTGCCATAAACCCAAGAATTCAAAGATTAAAACCTCCCTGACATTTAGATTTAACTGAATACCTATTTGAATACCCTCCAGAGGACATGCTGCTTAACTGAGCCGGGGGAAAGAGGTAACTTCTTGCTGTTCATAGTAGCAGTGCATATGGAAAGGTCTTTCCATGTCCATTCTGTTCTGACTTTGACAGGATGGGGAAAGCATGGGAGACTGCAATGAGAATACACTGTAACACTTTGAATCTCTAAGGTGGCATCCAAGTATTAATTTATCTTCCCAACTGCCCTTTTAAAGCTTACACCAATTACAAGCATGAGAAATGAGGGGAGCACTGTTGAGTAATTTCTTCAAGCTACATTGGCATCTGCTGTCTGAGCCTGAAATACAGCAGAGGAGCCCTGGCAGGCAGGCTCCTGCCAACAGCTACTTCTGTTTCTTCTGGACAACTCTGTCAAGCACTCATTTTCAGCAAGCACCAGCATCAGCTTGACTAACCTTGAATGTTTAACAGCAAATTAATTCAATACTACGAGCTCTGCGAAAAGGCTGCTTTTGTGTTTTGCCTTTTGTTTTAACCACTTTAAATAGAAGTCAGATGTGAGAGACTGTCACTGCCAGCAAGCCTATCTATGCTTTACGACACAGGGGTGGAATTCAAAAGGAATTCAATAGACATCTATTTTTGAGCTAGCTGTCTGAACTCTCTTTATAACTGATGAAGAGCTGATAGAAAATAGAGCAATTTCGCCCATCTATTTCAGACATCTACCTTCAGATGAGCTAAGTCACATCTGAAGTGCCCGTTTCCAGTGACTGTGAAGGCAGCCGAGGGTCACTAGCTCAGCTACAGCAATCTACCCTTTAACTGTCTAGAACTAGTTGATGCTTATAGAAAGAAGTGCCAAGATTTTAAAATATATTTTACCTTTATTGGAAGCTTGACTAAATATCAAGGATGAGATAAGATTTCCCCAGATGCCGGCGGACTGAAATATCAGAAAGAAGACCCCAAAGTATTGGTTGATAATGTCCTTCCCATTTTTTCCTGCTTTCTTAGCATATGAATTGCCAGCAATGGTGAGGTAAGTGCATTTGGCAGACCAGAGTGGTGCTCCTCCTAAGCCCAGGATCACAGAGGTAGGGATTAGTGTGTACCTGCCAAAGAACACTTTATTTAGCATAGTTATCATCCATTAGCATAATAATCATTTGCCCAAAGATCCAGAGGCAAAAATAGACATCAAAGAAATAGCTTTATCCTTTGTGTGATTCAGTACATCTACCACATGAAAGCAAGAAAGGTCCAGTCCTATGGAGCTTAGAATGGCCAAGCACTCCCAGCTGTGCCCAGGGGCTAGGTCTAGGTGAGGCTGGCTGGGTATGTGCCCATGTGCCCTGTCCTCTTGGAACTGAGAATTAAATTGAACCTGTGCTTCGGAAGATGGATCACATTGGAAGATGGAAGAGGAACAACTTTCCTCTGCAGAGTTGCATCCCCAGTCACTGGAGAGCAGAAGTACATTGTTCATCCACTTCTGAAAGGTCAAGGCAGGAGCTGGTCTCCTTCTGTGCTCCTCTGTGGCCAGAGCCACTTCCCTTCGATCTTTTCAAAAGCAGTCCTAAAAGTCATTTGGATTAAATGGAACTTCTTCTAATTTTATTTTTCTCTGAAAAGAAATCTCTGCTACACACGTGAGTTAAAGAAGCAACTTCAGGTGGGCGGATGAATGCATTCATTCTGGATTTTTGCATATTTTCACCTGTCTGCTTCACCTGCTACTGGATTCTTTAGTGCATTTGGCAGACCAGAGTGGTGCTCCTCCTAAGCCCAGGATCACAGAGGTAGGGATTAGTGTGTACCTGCCAAAGAACACTTTATTTAGCATAGTTATCATCCATTAGCATAATAATCATTTGCCCAAAGATCCAGAGGCAAAAATAGACATCAAAGAAATAGCTTTATCCTTTGTGTGATTCAGTACATCTACCACATGAAAGCAAGAAAGGTCCAGTCCTATGGAGCTTAGAATGGCCAAGCACTCCCAGCTGTGCCCAGGGGCTAGGTCTAGGTGAGGCTGGCTGGGTATGTGCCCATGTGCCCTGTCCTCTTGGAACTGAGAATTAAATTGAACCTGTGCTTCGGAAGATGGATCACATTGGAAGATGGAAGAGGAACAACTTTCCTCTGCAGAGTTGCATCCCCAGTCACTGGAGAGCAGAAGTACATTGTTCATCCACTTCTGAAAGGTCAAGGCAGGAGCTGGTCTCCTTCTGTGCTCCTCTGTGGCCAGAGCCACTTCCCTTCGATCTTTTCAAAAGCAGTCCTAAAAGTCATTTGGATTAAATGGAACTTCTTCTAATTTTATTTTTCTCTGAAAAGAAATCTCTGCTACACACGTGAGTTAAAGAAGCAACTTCAGGTGGGCGGATGAATGCATTCATTCTGGATTTTTGCATATTTTCACCTGTCTGCTTCACCTGCTACTGGATTCTTTATCCCTGTTTCACTGAATTTCACTGAATTTTTAGAGTTGGAAGGGACCATAGAGATGATCTAGTCCAACTCCCCTGCCAAAGCAGGACCACCCAGAGCTCGTCAGAGCATGTTACTCAGGACGGCACCCAGGCAGGTCTTGAAAATCTCCAAAGAAGGGGACTCCACACCCTCCCTGGGCAGCCTGTTCCAGGGCTCTGTCACCCTCACCGTGAAAAAGTTCTTCCTCATATTCAAGTGGCACCCTTTATGTTCCAACTTGTGCCCATTGCCCCTTGTCCTCTCACTGGCAACTACTGAAATGAGTCTGGTTCCCTCCTCCCTCAGCCCGCCCTTGAGATACTTATAAGCATTAATAAGGTCTCCCCTCAGCCTTCTCTTTTCCAGACTAAAGAGTCCCAGCTCTCACACTAAAGAGTCCCTGTTTCTCACAGGTAACACCTTTTGCATCCAACTTTCAAATCCACAACACAGAGGTAAAGTAGGAATTGAGAAGAAAAAGAAGAAAGAATTTCTCCCTCACCGATTTTGTTCAAACACAATAGACAGGGTTAAAGTATTTAAATTGTACCAGCTAGCGTAGAAGTTCCCTAAGGAGAACGCGATGTAGCAGCACATAGAACCTGCGATGGTCCACTTGCAGCCCAGCTTCTTGATGAGGATTGGAGGGAGGAACATGGACGATAAGATGAGTGCAGCATAGAGAACACTTAGGGAAGCAACGCCCAGGCCTTCTTCTGAATTGAGACTGCTCTGCATGGACAAAAACAGTGGTTGAGACAAATTTTATCATAGGCACATGTTACTATGGTGTACAGAGAGTGGCTTCAGTCAGAAAGAGAGACACAGAAGATGGGGCTGGGTATTGCTCTCTCCTTTCCCCAAAGCATTCTAATTATGGATTTATGGTTTTCCTCACAATGGTAGCCCATTTATGAAAATATGATACAGAACCAGGCGAAAATTGCTCACATTCAAAGCTTTGGTAAGTCAGACTTTAAATAATTTAATGTAATGTGTTTGAATTTATCTTTGAAAGCAAGCTGAATGAGGGATAACCTCTTCTCTTGGCCTTCCCTTTTTGTCTCAGGTAGCAGTATCTTCAGATCTGCATTGCAAAGGCTGACTTCGGAACAGTGGAAGGTTCTTTGCTTAAAACTACGGGTCTGATAATTTCTAAATTCTTCAGAGGCCAAGGTCCAAATATCCTAATATGTTCATAGGAGCCCTTTGTAGTTGGAAGTAGTTGATTCACTCACATTTTCACAAGGGAGGAATGAGATTTTACTGATCTAACCAGGTTTTGTATTTTTATGCTCAAAATGGTTCTCTTATCTTGATGCTGTAAAATTTGCAATGAGAAGAGCAAGGGGATGCTTATCAACATTTTCTTGCTGGTTTTCCAAGCTTACATGATCTGTTATGATTTTGGAAGGGGATATGCGTGCAGGCGTGTGGGGGTAGCACTGGAAGAGAGCTTGTAGCTGCACCAAACACTTCCAAGCCCGGTGGTGGCTGCATGGTCCAGCCACGAAGGACCATGGTGGCAGCTGCATGGCTCCCTTGGCAAGAAGCAGGCATCTTCGGTGCCTGCTTCAGTGCCTCCTCACCTCAAGATGGTGAGGTGAGGAGGGAATTTTCTCTGTCAAGCAGTGTCAACATATTTGGGAATCAGAATGGTTGGTTTGTAAAAAGGCAAAGAGGCTTTCTGATCACTGAGGTCTTATATTTGAAACACCACATGCCTGATTTTGTCAGCTGTAGCTTCCAAAAGTTAGGAGCCAGGACTCCAAAATCGTATGATTAGCTTAATTGTTGCTGGTTTGGGGTTTTTTGGTTTATATTTTTTGGGGGGGAGGGGTGGAATGTTGAAATGAATGTTGCATATTTTTAATGCCTCTTCTGCAGGCTACAATAGAATAAAATAACCTACTTTTGATTGTGTCTCAGCAGGTCGTCTTTAGCCGACAAGACAAAATGGAGAGAAAGGAGGGCTATTTGTGAATCAGCAGCACTCCCTCCTGCAGCGTTAGAGGAGGCTGTATGTTCCAGCACTTAACCTGAGCATGCACCGTTTCAGATGGTGGGGATGACTCATGGCTTCTTGGGTTTACCGTTCCCCTCCTCTTTAGTCTGCCCATCTTGTAAGATCTCCATCCATTTTTGGGACTTTTTTTTGCAGAACTTCCCTGAACTTGGAATTTGACAGTGTCAGCAAACAGAAAATGCTTGAGGAGAGGAGAAGAGAAGAGGGAGGTGTCCAGAGCTAGCAGGGAGCTCCTAAAATGAGGTCAACCCCTTGTTATTGCAAACAAGTTTATCATGTTCTATATCAAGCTCCACCTGTAAAGCATACAGATTTCCACACCAGTTGGAAAATCCTTCTAGAACCCATTTGGTTGGGGTCATCTTTTAATATCCTGCCTAAACTTCCTCATGGATGACTTATATCCATTTATTTTTCATTAGACTAGAAGAGTCTTCTAGACTGAAAAATTCCTTCTTGTGTTTATTTACTCTGAAGTATTCATAGACCGTAATAGTAACCCTCAGTCTTTTAATATGGCCATACTAAACAAACCATCTCCGATGGTACCCTGAGTATGCAAGTAATTCTAGAAACTATCTCTGCTACTGTGTTTTAAGATGTTAATGTCAATACAAGCCACAGCTGCCTGTGATTTAAAATAATATTTTTATTATTATTACATTACATCATGATACCAGGAATTATTGTATTATTTTATACTTATATTGCTTAATGGATTGCGCCTACATTTTTATTATTTTACATTGCTGTATAATAATTATAATAATAATACCAAATCAATTTAGAAACATTCAGAACAATCTTTTTTCAGAAATGAAGTTTGTTTTCCATTTTACATTATCTTCTTTTGAGAAAAATCTCAGAGAAATCTTATTTTCACTCAAACAGCTTTCGTGGACCTAAAAAAATAATCTGACACAAGTATTCAAACTATTTGAGAAGTACTAGAATAAAATATTTAGTAAATGCTATGGATCTGACTGAGGAATACTAACCTGCATGAAATTGATGTCCTAACTCACCTCATAAACAAGTATTGTGCACAGAAACTGGGGAAAGACTGCCAGGTTTCACACAACCAGCTGGCCTCATGCCCTCCCAGGCCAGCTGTCCTGCCAGCCACTGGGAGATGCTCCACTTACCTGTAGGCTCTGGAGTCCTGCATAAGCAGTGAAGAGAAGTAAAAATCCGAAAGAAATGACCAAAACATTCTTAAGATTCCTTTCCATGTTGATTCATACAAGACAAAAGGTCTCCCGGTGTGCAAAGCTGATCCAATTATTCCAGGGGATGCTCTGAGTTGGAGAAAAACAGCTTATGTTTTGTTGGAAAAGGTCACTTCTCACTGCATTTGTAGAGGAAAGAGTTGTTAATTATTTGACGATTGGCCAGTGAACTTTACTTTTTCTGATAGTGAAAACTCCTTACAGAGTTGTTACTCATTCACCTGTCGTGACTAAGGCAATAACGAGCACTCCCAAAGGACCTCAGTCAGGTTTTATTAGCTAGGTATATAAGTCACTTGCAACACTTGGAACGATTTTAGTATTGCAGTCGTCCATTATATGGCTCTCTCCTATCACTAGCACAGAAGAAAAAAATTGCAGGCAGTGAAATGATTGTCTGGCATAAAGATACACTAATCCATAAAGGGCAAAGATTAAAAGATGGCACTGAAATCTATATTAGGCCTAATGCTTAACTAAGGTTACAAAAGCGTACTAGGAAGTGAGACTGGTGGTGTTTTGGTGTTGTCTGCACACCCCAGCTCTATCGCCGTGCAGCGTGACAAAACGAGGGTGCTGCCTGCTTAGCAAGCGGGAGAGCCTTCACCCGTGGTGAATCCTGTGCCTTGGGTGTTCCAAATTTACCAAGTCATACTCATGAAAACCATTTTTCCCCATCTTTCCCATCAACTCAGAAGCCAAGAAGAAATATGGATTGAGCAGATAAATGAAAAAGCAACTTCCCCTCCTCCAGCCTCTGGAAAAAAACCAGCCTTTGTGGGTGTATTTTGCCTTGCCAGTGCTGCCTGGCTCAAGGAGTGAAAAGCTTCCTCCAAGCCAGCCAGCCCTGCTGTGTTTGCCCCTGCTCTCCCCTGTTTTCAGAGCCTGCCCTTGTGAATTTGCATTGTCTCTGTTCGGGACACACTGGCTGTTCCTGCAAGTCCTGACTCAGCTTTTGAATTGTGGTTTAACCCCAGCTGGCAACTAGGACCATGCAACTGCTCGTTCACGCTCTCACTGGTGGGGGAGAGTAAAAGTGAGAAAACTTGTGAGTTGAGATAAATACAGTTTAATAGGCAAGGCAAAAGCCGCAAGCAAAGCAAAACAAGGAATTCATTCACTTCTTCCATCAGCAGGCAGGTGTTCAGCCACCTCCAGGATAGCAGTGCTCCATCACACCTAGTGGTCACTTGGGAAGATGAGTACCATCACTCCAAACAGGTCTCCCCCTTCCTTCTTCTTCCCCCAGCTTTATATACTGAACATGACAGCATATGGCATGGAATATCCCTTAGGTCAGTTGGGTTCAACTGTCCTGGCTGTGTCCCCTCCCAACTTCTTGTGCACCCCCAGCCTACTCGCTGGCAGGGCCATGTGAGGAGCAGAAAAGGCCTTGACTGCTTAGCAACAACTAAACACACCAGTGCACTACCAACGCTGCTCTCCAAAACATAGCACCACACCACCTGCTAGCCAGAAAACCAACTCCATCCCAGCCTAAACCAGGACATGAATATTCCCCTTCTGAGCACAGAAAGTCCTTTCTGCCCCTAAGCCACCCGGGGTGAACAGACCCTTCCCGCAGCTGTAGCAGAGAAGGGATTTAAACTCGGGAGCAAAGTAGAATCCAAAAAAGTCCATGCCATGAAGTTAACATTCTCAAGTGGAGGTGGTCTGTAGGGTCTAGTGGGAATGCACAGCTAAGACTTGGTCTAAATCCCACTAGATGGCACAATTTTGCTTCCCACAGGGACTTTCGAGGGTGAGGGGAGGAGACTTTAATGCATTAATTCATTTAATACATTAAAGAGGTCACAGCTAGTTTCTACTTTGGAGAAAATTCCAGTATGTGCCTTTTCATTTTCTTCTTTTGTCTTATAATCGTCTTGAATGAAATAATGCAGAAAACATAATCTTTTAATTCTCCATTGTTAATGGTACTTCTATATTGCAAGTCTAGATCGTGAAATACTGGCTTTTTATTTTCCAGGCTACTATGCTCAGCATGCAAACACTTTCAATTAGATCACAATGCTACTGTTGTTTTAGAGTGTTTGTAATCCTCTACAAGGCTTATAAACCAACTTGGTGGTACTTTGGCCCAGGGATTTCCAATCTTTTCAGATTTATTGGATCGTTGCAATTTTCCAGTGCAGATCCCTGCATAAGAAATTTACACTTGGTGATAACAAGCTTGTTCCTGGTATGGACCCCTTAGAAATACTCTGCAAAATTCAGGGGGTTTGAGGTCATAGGTTGAAAAGCACTGAAAAAAATGAATGAGAAAATGTAAGGTTAATGCTTGTCCTAAACAAAAGGGTAACGATCAGCTGTTTGGGCAGAGGCAAGAACCAAGGGTAGTGCAAAGTGCACTCAGTTCTAGAAGACTTTATTTAGTGCTCTTCCTTGGCATTAGCAGTAAGAACAACACAGCTTTAAAAAAAATTAGCATTAACTGGATGCTATTTTTAAAATGCAGTGCTGGATAGGCTGTCCCATCAGCACTTCTGCTCTGGAGGAATTCTTAACTCCTAGCTCAGTCACGTCCACTTAGCAGCAAATGTTGGAGAGCATACAGGGGATGGGGTGGGGGAGGAAGGGGTTGTGGAGGTTGCTTTTTTTCTCTCCTTTTGACTGATCAAAGGCACGCCGGCCTGTTCCGCATCCCTTGCCCAGAGCTTTCGGTTATCCAGCTGCCTGGTCCTGAGCCCCTCCTGAGGAATGTGTGGAGTCTTTACCAAGGAGATCTGATAAGGCCGAGGATCTCTTCCTTTGGTACCAGGGAGCGGGTGGCTCCGGCAGGCCTGCTGTGCATCACCCTTGACACCTCTTTCATTCTTCCTGCCAGTCTAACTAAGATTAAGTGAGCCTCAGGAGCCCTGCACTGCATTTTGGGCTTAGCTTTCACACAGGAGGCTGCGGCCACCAAACTGAAATGCCCTGCAGAGCGCAATCACGAAAACGGGAGGTAGAAGAGGCTGGTTAAATTCATGACTCCATCCCACAGCCGCTCACGTTTATTTTCCTGTGTTTATTTTCTCAGTGTAAATGAGGGCAGCCTTTGCTTAAAAGATTATAGTGCCAGAGGCTAATCTTTGGGGAGTTTTGTGCTTCATAATTATAATTTCCCTGTTTACTCTTTGCTGGTTAAATATATTGTTTAGGCAGTTATCTTAACACCACTACCACACAAAAAAACCCCAAAACCCAAAACAAAACCACCCGGAATACTCACCATAGGATTTTCTGTCTTAGGAGGCTTCTAATTGATTAATTCCTTGGTGATACACACTATCCTTTGTGTCTATGGGTAGAAAGGATGAGTATTTTTATATGCCAGCTGGCCAATGGTTTCCCCACCCACATAATATGGGCAAGGGGCAAGTGTTGCAAGAGCTGTTGTCAGAGGTGGCCCTGACTGGGACTGATCTCTGAGGAGCAGGAGTTGCAGAGGACAAATGTTTGCCCATGGGTGACTCCAAACTCAGGGGCGGGGAGAGCAGAGACAGTCTGTGTATTCCCACTTAGAGAAATGAAGATGACTCCTGCCTGTTTTCCGTGGTGAAGGAATTGCAAATATACTAGAGGGGAACATCAGGACAAAGCCTGTTCTCCTGAGCCCTAGAAGTATGAGAAAACCCTCAGTATTCTGTCTTGGGATAGGAGCTCTTAACTGTGGCAAAGCCAGCAGATCGCATGGCCCTCCTTGGTAACCTACAGAGTTCACACTCACAAAATCCTGGCTCACACTCTGAGCTGCTTGAACCCATACTGCTGCTATGTAATTCATCCTGTTAGACGCACAAGCCCCAAATTGTCTTTTCAGAGACCCCTGTGGCGTAGTCAGGACGCTCCTTCGATGAGGCTACCACCACCCCAAATGCTCACCTTCTGGGACAGTCACACAGAAGACACTCTCCCTGGGCTGTAGCAGTGGGAAGGAGAAAATAAATAGAGTATCTGTAAAATATAAGGCTAATGCAATGGGCAACAGAAAGTGATCTAGATTTGAAAAATCTTTCACAGTTTGCATATGGCATAGGAAAGCACGACTGACTCCTAGGAGATGCTCAGACATGTTTAACTCCACTGTAACCACTCTTTTTTCCCCCTACTCCTGTTCTGCCAGGAACTTACCCTGTTCTGACGTACCTGCAGTGTTCCCACCTGCAAGACCAATGTCCGAGTTCTCCATTTTTAGTAGCTGCTTCAGGAGAAAAGGGCCCTATTAAAATTCAAGGCTGCTTGGCCCAGGCTGCCTACACAGCATTTCCTTTCTCGCTGTGAGAGCCTGGCCATGATGCTCTGTTCTTCTCTTTCTCCTTCACCTGCGTTGGTGCCCTGCTGATTTTGGAGTTGCAGCAGGAATGGCTAAATGTGACACACATGCCTTGCAAAGCCCAGCCATTCCCGATGGGGCCTTAGGAAATACAGGCTGTTACATGTTGAGAGAGGGTCACAAATCAGATGTGAGATTCATAACACTGAGCTGAACACATCAAGCAGTAAAAGCTGTTTTCTCCTGGGAAGGGGATTGGAAGGGAGTTGCCAGTTGGTGAACTCACCTTGCCCACAAAGTTGGAGGAAAATAATTGTTATTGTGCCAATGGCTCCAGCAGTGTGAGTTGCTCCTGTGAGCCTCTAAATGTCTAAACATCTCCCCCTCCAGCATTTCAGCTCTCACTTCCAAATTTCCTGTATTTCCCTTCTCTCCTTTCAAATGCTCCTCCTTTCTACAATACAGTGCATCCACAGATATTGTCCTCTCATCTGTTCTCCCAAGACCCCTCTACATGCATGGCTGCATAGACATCAGTATGCCACTTTTGTCTGAATCCTACCTGCTGATGTCCTCTGTCTTTCTCTGGAGGCACCAAACTGTCTATCTCTATCTCCCTTTATGGCCTTGATGTATGCTGTCCTTCCTTACTGCTTTGCTGTTCCCTAGCCCTTACCCTGCCTTCATCTCTCTGCTTCTCCCTCCTTACCCCATCCCCTGAGTACCAACAGGCTTTTTCCTTAAGGGAGTCACCTCAAAACTGCTGGTTGCGTTCCTGTCTCACAGATCATTAAGCTACTTTTAGCCTCGCTGGCTGTAAGGTCCTGCTCCCTCCTCCCTCAACACTGCTCTTAATATCTCATGAGGCCCTTTTCCAGCTCCACTACCTATCCCTCCAGGAAGAAGAGGAGAGACGCCTTGTTTTCTGGGCTGGGAGCCAGCTCATGGTAGAAGCGGGGGCCAAACAGAAAAAGAGCCTAGAGGGTGCAGGCCATGGGCTTGAATGCAGCTGTGATTTTTCTATCAGTAGGATCACGAGGGAGGCCTTCCCTGCAGGGTGTTTGTCTGCTCTGCTGAGTCCAGCTGTCCAAATAGCCAGTACTGTCTGTATAGCAGGACTCAGGTTAGGATAGGATGATGTGATGCCAGTCCAGACGCACTGATAAATTTTTATGAACCAGAGAAACAGTTCCTTTAAGTGTTGGACTTCTTATTGGTGTTACTCACCTCCTGAGATATTCATCTCTCTGGGCTGGAGCTTCCAATGTGTGAACACATCTAGGAGGGTGTTCACCGATACTAATTCTAGCCTAGGGAGAGATTCAAGCCTTCTGAAGGTAAGGCCCTGCCCTGTGTAGCAGCCAACCTCTGCAGAGGACAGCTGAGGAGATCAGCCTCTCCAGGCTGACAGCTACCCGGGAACAGCCCCTTGTTTCTCCACTGGAGTTGTCTTGCATTCATTCTCTTATATAAAGATGCTTTCATCTGGTTCAAACTCAGCCTATTCACATTTTAGCTTCTTGGAACTGTTGCCTGAGCACTGACATTGTACATGTGCCTTGCCCTGCATTTTGGATGTTTCAGAATAGCTGGGGTAAACCCTTTTCTAATCCTAAACCAGCGGCTGTGACTCAGTTGGTAGGACTTAACACCCTGCTAAGATAAACATGCCACTGTTGTGATCTGTGCTTTTATAATGAAAGGGTAGGGAGGCGGATCCTGCATATGAACAATAGACTTTTGTACAGCGGCGGCTCTGAAGCCTTAAGAGCCATTTACTGGAAACTGCTCGGCTGCATACTAGTTGTTCACATGAGTATGCATCAGAAATTCCTTGCACACACCCATGATGTGGGCTGGGAGGATGGAACTCTGTCAGCAATCCAAACCATGTACTGTCACCTTTCCGTTTTAGTTCACAGGTGGCTGTTCATGTTATTAATGTCCACTATTAGGTTCTGTAATGCTCAGCCAGGAAGCCCCTGCTTTTTAAAAGGCTATCACAAATACTTGTGACAAATTTATCTCCTTGTGGACATAAGAAAGGGAAGGAGAGTGGGGCTTGATCCCAGAAAGTAGGGTTGCATAAAGCCATATCAGGGCTGATGTCCTGGGATGTGGAGCTTCTCACTCTCATGTGCCTTTCACCTTTCATTTGTCCGTTGGTTGCAACCATGGCTGGGGACTGGCATAAGAGGAATATTTACCACCTATTTACCACCCACTTGCCATCGATGTAAATATCTATGGCAGATAAAAAGTAGTATGAGCCTCTTCCACTGTAAACCTTGCTCCCACTCACTTCTGCTTTCTGTCACTGAATATACCATAACCCCTTATACAAGCAGGTGCTAGCAAGCTGCAGAAGTGCAAGCAGGGGCTCTTGAGCATGCAACATAAAAAAGGGCAGGTCTGTACAGGCTGGTGAGCAGTACGGCATTAGAGAAAGGGGCTGCCATAGACAAATAAGTTCTATTAGAATTAATCAGAACAGGTGCTCTTTTTTGTTGATTTTTTTTCCTACAGTAAATTTTGATCACAAAACATCTTCCCTATCCCAGCAGATATCACAAAGTGCTTGAGGCAGGTGATTACCTGTTCACCTGGATTTTTCTGTGGCATAAAATATGTGGAAGATCCATAACCTTCCCCTAGGGTGATAAAGAGTGTCTCCCAGGCCTGAGCAACAGACCCCTCTTGCCCCAGTACCGGTAAATTTTGCAGCCATCCAGGACACTGTTTCTCTACCAGTCGTCCTTGACCCTTTTCCTCCCATCCGCAGCCCTGCCTTCTCCCACACACATCCCTCAGGCCCATTAGTCTGCATCTCTTGCATTCAATCAAATGAAATTACCTTTTTGAGTGGCTTCCTGGAGATTATGGAGCTATGATAGACTTCCCTGGAAACAGGTACCGGAGTCCAGCAGGGAATGTCTTGATGGCTGTTGCTCTGAACGAGCTTCACATTTCCCATCCGTTTTCGGGAGATAAGCAAGCCCTCTGTGTATTTCTAATCTTGCACTGATCTTGAACTGCCCCACTATGCTTACAAGGCTTGCAAAACTCCTATCCCATCCCATCTTCA